CAGAGCAAAATCAAAGCTTACATAGGCTTAAGAAAAAAAAATCTACAAGATTTACAACTCCCCTATGTTGGTGCTACTGTGGCTTGAATGCATGATCAAAAACAAGACTGTATTGTTTTAGTAGCACAACTGAACAAAGTTCTGAATACTTCACATTTGGTAATAGTTTCCAACTGTGGAAAGATCACAAAGTAACTGGGATATCGTGAATCAAGCTGGTTAATAATACACCAGAAGTGATAAGATACGAGACTGAAAAGTCCCTGAGTCTTTGCCTTCCTTATCTCTTATCACTCTCCTTAATAGTTATAGTTTTAGATTAAGTAACCTCTCGTATCATAAAATAATTTACGGTTTATTGGTGCACGATACAATTTTGCTTCCTATTGCCTTTTATTGAGCTTTCAAAAATGTCAAAGGTCAGCTTTTTTATTTTGTCCCTTGTATCAAGCGCTTTTCAATTCACAAGTAAGAATGTTGTTGCTTTAAAGATACTGACACTCACTTTTCCTGATCAAGGTTTAGAAGAGGATAAAGCAGAGCAGAGGACTTCCAGTCTAGCAGACAGGGTTAGGAGCCAGACACGTTTTGTTCAGGTTGCTGTGCTCTTCTCTGTGCCTTTAAGAGCTCATTCCTCACCTCGGTTTCCTCCTCTGCAAAATGGAAAGAAGACTCAACCACATACTTTCCTTACTGTGGCTCTGCTAGTTAAACATTTTTAAAGATTTAGGGGATGGTAAGTCTTCAGTGTTAATAATTAACCTGCCTCTCTAACTGTCCTGTATTGTAGCTTTCACTTCTCCAATTCTGCATTTTTCTTTCATTGTTCATCTTCGTGATTTCCACCATTTCTTGTTCTCACTGCAGTGAAGAACAAATCATCCCTGGCTCTTGGGGACCATGCAGGGTTGTGTCAGCCCAAATAATCCCAGACCCTGGTGCTGGGGGAGCCTCAGCCAGGCTGTGGCTGGGCCAGATGGGTTTTCCTGGGCAGGGAAAACACACCTGGGGGGGTGGGAGGGAAATAGTTCTGGTCCTGCCTTCCTCTTCAGTTTCTCTGTTGTGTGGGTGCAGCCAGCACGTTTTGACTGTTTCATTTCAGCTTGGTGAGATGGTGGAAGATAAAAGTTTATTTTTTTTCTTGTTGTTCTCCTTATTTTCCAACTTAGTTGGTTTTTTGGGGGGTGGTAGTTAGTGTATGCAACACTATGTTGTACTCTAGAGATCCCAGTTCTGTTTTCAGTCCTTGTTTTACTGAGAAACATTCTAGTTATCTTACTGGAACATGAAAATACAGTGCAAACTCTTGTAATTGCTGATGGCAGATCTCCACCTGAAGGAGAAGCTTGAACTGCTCAATGACAATAGACTCATCCTCTGATGGGAGATTCTGCACATACTTCCAAATCCTTTTATCAGTTTAGTAATCATATTAGTATTGATTAAAAACTCTTGTGTGCTGCAAAGCATTGAGCAGGGGTTTAGGATGATGATGGTAGTGTCTGATTCTTGGAATACAAAATTGGTGTTAATGAAAACATTTCTGGAGCCTGTGTAGTTAAGATCACAAAGGGGAACAAGAGTTCTGAGTCTCAGCTGTTCTAACATAGAGCAGATGGTTAACTTGCCTTCTAAATCTTTGCACAAATTGAGTAAATTCTCAGGACTATCTATGATCTTTCAACCCATTCCCAATTTTTTTTGCACGCTAGGAAAAGAGTAATTTGCAAATCAGATCCAGGCCTAGGAAAAGGAAGGATTTCACAGCAGTGAAAAAGCATGAGTCAGAAATAAGACCTCAGGTTCCACTTGCAGCATTTTTCCTGCTGGAAGCTGGGAATTCTGTCCTTGAGGCAGCAGAACTGTTTAATGTCTCTTCTCTGGTAGTCTCAGATGAAGTGCAGTGTAGAAATGCTTAGTCTTGACATTCTTCAAATTATCCCAGCAACACTGAGAAAAATAATGCTCTTCTAAGTTATTCTTTCCTGTAATATCAGTACTAATTTCAGTTTCTCTGAAATTTTCTGTTGTCTAGTCTCTCAGAGAACCTTAAATTTTGTTTCAGCATTTCTCATGCATTTTCTTTTATTTCCTTCATGAAGAATTCAATTTACTGCAGCAAAATAATCTTAGTACTGAAATAATAGATATATTAAAGTTGGAATTACCTTGGTGGCAATAAAGGACAGGGTTTTATTGCTTGCTTATCAAGGCAGGTTTGTGTTTGAGTTCACTGAGAAGTAAGTGCATTACATTAGAACTAAATTTAACCTGGCTTGGTAACAACAGCATGCGTAGGTAATCCATAAAGACAGTTCAGATTTATATGGTAATAGTTTAAAAAATAATTTAAGGTCTTTAATGTTTTTTACTTGACAATGAAGTTGTCAGTAGTATTGATAATATACACGAGTAGCTATTTTCAAAGTTTTCCACGAAAAAAAACCCCAAACAACAGCTAATCAATAGGAAAGGTCTTGTAGATGGAAAGCATTCCCAGTCATCCAAGGAGGAGCTGCAGCACAGGCTGCAGTAATTTGGGTAATACTGATTAAAATCCATCTCTGTCTCTTAGGTAGAAATGAATGTTTCTTGTTCCAGACTGTGCAGCTCAGCAAAATCAAGTGTTGTCAGCAACAAATTATAGGCCCCAAGTGTTTTATTCTTAGATGTTGTAAAATGTAGAGGGAAAGAGCAGACCGCTTTACAGGGTAATTCCATTTTTCAGGTTAATTTATATCTGATGAGCTAGAGCTTTTAGAAGGGGCAGTCACATGTCAAGATTAGAAGCTTGGATTAACAAGAATTGTATGGTGTAAAGTGGTGAGTGAGTAGTTGGGCTGCTTCTATTGAATTTCTTAAAAGTGATTATTCACCTGGTTCTGTGATAGTACTGACATCTGCTTTGTAATCTGAAAACCTTGATTTGGATAAAAAAAATCAAGAGGGTCGTTTTCTTGTGTTGAGTAACTTCACCAGCCTTGTTCTCTGAAGCAGAGAAGTCTTTGGTAAATCTGAAGATCAGCTTGGTAGCTCAGCACCTGAAAATTCTTCTGATCCTTTGCATTTTAGGAATTTTCATGTGTGAATGTGTGAAGGCATTTAATAGCAATTGTTTCAGGTAACAGCATGAGTATCCACCCCAGACACCTGCTCCTCAGTCTCCATCTGGCTGCTGTTATTCTGGGTTCCTTCCAGTGCCTCTGCTGTAAACTTAGGGGTGGAAGATGATCTAATAATGACATCAACTGTTAAACAGCAGTTAATTAGAAGATCATTAATTAAGTTCATTTAAGTTATGGGCAGGGCAGTAAGTCACATCCAACCTATTCTGTCTGAAGGGGCTGTTGTTACTTTGCCAGTAAGAGAGAGTAAGGCTGTGGTGTGGGACAGGACAGCCACAGAAGGAGGAATAACTCATTTTGTGTGGAGAGGTATGGCAAGGAGCTTTAATAGTTGGTCAAACAAATATAATCACTTTTGCTTGCTTCAGAAATGCCCTTGTTCATGCAACGTGAACATTTTTAGACACCTCCGGGTAAAAGAGAATCTGAGGTTTTTTCCATTTTATTATGGAGTGTTTACTTTTATTTGTTGCTTTGGTTAACCAAATCCCCATCGGCAGCAATGGTGTCCCTTGACTCCAGTGGCTGTGCAGACACATCCTGCTCGTTCCTGCCGGCTCCTGACCTTGGTGCTGTCCCTGGGGTGCAGGAAACACCACCCGGGGACGGGCAGTCCCTGCTGCCACCCGGGGCCATCGACCCGAGCAGGTGGGCACAGCTCAGGGGTCGATGCACTGTTTGTCCAGCTCAGCACAGCTGGGCAGGGAATTGTTTCCATGTGCTCTGCTTTAAAGGCAGCCTTTTGCTTTCAAGGGCAGGCAAGGAGGAAGCAAATCTACAAAGTCTAAGCAATGTAGCTTTAATTGGAGTTGTACATCTTGATGGAGCAGAGGTGAAAAGGAGGAGACCGTATGGTGTAACCTTTATTTTTGTTAAGTTCCCTGATAAGCCATTGATTTGATAAGAAATACTGCTCCATTGGCTGAGCTTGCAGGGTGCAGTTCCCTGATAAGCATGTGTTTACTGTCTGCCATAAATGCCTGAAGTGACAGTTTATGGTGGGTAGGATTGGATGTTTAAATGCTGAGTGGCTGCATCATAACTGTGCTTTCACGGGCGAGCCTGCTGTGAACTCAGGTTGGGTGAAGAAACAGCTTGAACTGTGATGTTCATTTCTCCTTGGGGCAGAGCAGTTGGACCCAGGGTAATGCACAGCCCTTGCTAATATAATACAATAGGAACCCATTAGAACACAGTATCCAGCCCAAATCACCTCCCAAAAAAGCCTTGCAGGAGGAACACAAAGATGATGTGTATTTTGATATAAACTACATGTCTTTTCTGACTTGATGATCACTTTCTTCCTATATGGTAGACACTCATGTTGTCCAGATCTTGATGTCACCTCATTTAGAGCAATATTCATACACACCCGGATTTTCATACCTGGTGAATCAGACCACCACTGGTGGGTTTCCTTGATGTCAGAGACCCAGTGCTTTCCCAGTCAGAGGTATTCAGGTATGAAAAAAAATATTGTTTTTTGTAGTGTAAGAGAAAGGAAATAACTTATCTCTTTTTGGGCTAGTGAAGGCTACCATGGTATATTTACAGATCTGTTCCTACCTGTGCTGGGTAATTTTTCTAGAACTCAAGATACTTTTTTTTTCTGATTAAAACTGAAGGCACTCTTATTATTTCTTTAACCACATTTAAGTCTTGTAATGTAAACAAATTAGTTTGCATTTCACATGTCAGACACTGATTTATAGAGGAAAATGGGAGTTTTCATCTGGTATGTCTCTTGAATCATTAACTTTTGATTGAAGAAAGGTTTTGAAATAGGATGTAAAAGAATTTTCCATCTTTAGTGAAGGGATTTCTTGGGGTTTGCAGCATCTGGTTGGGTGTTTTTTTCCCCTGGTGTGCATCTTGAATTCCCCTTCCCGAATTGGGAAGCTCAGCCTGAAGGAGTTGAGCAGTTGCTCCAGTTTGCACCACAGTTCACTTTCTGTTCATATGAAGAGAACACCTCTGGCACACTCAGTGGTGGCACCACAGAAGGGACCTGGCCACAGGCTCCTCCAGGAGCTCTCCTCTGGTCACCTGGGTGACTTGGGTGGCTCTGCTGCTCTCTCTGCAGGTGCTGGGTGTGCCCAGGGCCATTGCACAAGAGCCCAGCTCAGCTCCCTGGCCTGTGGGAGCTCTGCAAAGCCCAGGGAAAACTCCTCTGGTTCTAAAGCTGCTCTGCCCTGCCCTGTGTACATAAACATTATGTGATACAGGCGAGTTGCTGCTTAGCACTGGAGTCATAGCAATGTCTTGGTAGCTTAACATCCCTTCTCTGCTCCAGCATAAAGAGAGAAGTAATTAGGAATTGTGTCAAGGCAGTGTCTAGTGACCAAAGGAAGTTGCATCAGATGGACTGATGCTTCTGTCCAGTAGAGGTACTGGTTTTGTTTTGGTTTTGTCATTTGCCAGCTACATTTAGCATTAATAAATGTTTTCAGATGTCCCATGTGTATCAAAGTCTAGCCTGATGTAAAATGTCTGTTGCAAGAAAAAAATGTAGAGGCACTGGATGTTCTGGCCATTCTGGAAGATGAGCCATTGAGCTAATCCTGCCTTGTGGCATGTGGGTGAGATGTTGTAGGTGAAAATCCCACGGGGCTATAAAGAACATATTTCTGCTGTGTTACACCCAGTCACGCCAGGGCTGATCCTGCCTCGTGTTTGCTGCCTTTGATTTCCCTCTCCTCTTCCCACACAGCAGCTTGTGACAGATGTAGCCACTGCTTTTAACGATGGACCTTTGTCCAGCCAGGGAAAATGGCCACTTGAATTCAGAGAGAAAATAATGATCCTTTTGATTAAGCAAGCTGGCATTGGTGGCTGGGCTGTGCACACCAGAGGGGAGAGCTCAAAGGGCACCTGCCTGTAACACAAACCATGGCAGGAAGTGTGCCTGGCTGCAGGAGAGAAAAATTGGCCTTGTGTTTGGAAAGAACAGAGGAAGAGAGATTAGAGGTTAAACTGGAAAGGGTGTTAAAATATTCTCTGTGTATGATGGCTGTAGCAGTGGATTTAAATTGCTGAAATTACCTTGTCAGGATGCCTTATCAGCTGCTGTTCTAGTGATTGTTTGGTTTAGATAAGAACTGGAGTGTGATAAAACCTTGATAACAGTTTAGAGATTACAGCTCTTTTGAAACTGCTGGCACTTGCCAGGGGCTCTGAGCTGCAAGAGCTACGCTTGGATTTATTCCACTACATTTTTTTTTCCTCCGCCCCCCTTCTCTTCTTTTGTTTCATGTTTTTGTTTAAGTGCTTAAGCTGTTGTTTTAGATCCTGGTTATTTTGAGCCAGCAGCCCCTTCTGAGCACTTGTGGGACAGTGCATGTGCATAGAGGGGACCTGTGCTGAGGAGTGGAGGTGAATGCTGAGGGAGAGAAGAAGAACAAGGTAATGCTGCTCCTCTTGCCATCCCATTTCAGGCTCTGAGCTGTGCTCAGTTTCACAAGCTGTGAGGACACAAAAGGCTGGGTCGCTCAGCAGGCTGGGGAGCTTTCTCCTGGGTACTTCCCCAAAGTCCCTGTAACAATCTTTAGTTTACAGCAACTCATTGAACGGGGATGTAGAACACCAGCCCTTAAAAATCCACGCTGTGTTTGTGGCAGCACGTTTGTGTTCTTCATATTATTTTTGGCTGTATTATCTCTTGGGGTTTGTGATTTTGTGGGGTTATTTTAAAATAGAGACTGGTAACAAGCCTCCAGTTGAACTCATCCCATCTGCATGCAATGAATGGGACAGAAACAGGGTTACAGAAACTAGCGTGGTGTTTTTGTCTAGTTCTTATTGAAGGTGATTTATATGGTATGGCTGTATTTTGGTTCTGCCTTTCTTCTAATAAATTAGGCGCTCAGATGTTCAGCTTGCACATCTGAAAGCACATGCTGCTTAGTTTTCCAGAATAATGCAGATTGGTTTGCTTTTTGTGTAAATGTAATTTGAAAGGAGGAAGCAGAGGAACTCATAAGAAAATTCTGAAGTTGTAGGACTATGGTTAGATAATGGAAATTGAGGTTGAATTTTTGTGTTGAAAACCCTTTGTAGTGTTTGCTTTCAGATTTCTGCTCCTGCTTATTAGGATTGATTGTAAAGCAGTGCATCCAGGCATTCCATCTCTACTCATGTGTTTTTAGCCTGTCCAGCCAAAAGATAAAGTTAAGACATTATTAAAAAAGCATGAGGAAGAAATGCTGCTGCTGTTAGACCAGTATTCATGCTTCTGTGTGTACCTGAAGATTCTCTTGTCCTGTGGTTATGAGGTGTGGCTCTGCCAGGAGCTGTATTCATCTATAATTGAAGTGACAGAGAAGTGGAAGTTGTTGGTGTTTCCTTATCTTGGTTACTTGTGCTGTTAATCCAACCAAAGAGTCTTGAGGTGGTTGCAACTTGAGCCTGCTTCTTGTAGCGTGCTGAAATTTGATTTTGCATTTTGTTGTGGTTTGTGTAGCTCAGTGATTTCCCCCCCCCCCCCCCCCCTTTAGCAGCAAATCTGGTGTGTCCCCTGCTCCACTGGTCAGCCTGATAACACACTAAGTCTGCTCCAGTTGGCTCAGGCACAACGTGTCCTACAAAGTCCTCAACAAAACTTTGGACTGCATAAGTTTGACTATCTGGGGATAAGTCAATAATTGCAACACAAAGTACCAGGGGAAACTGTACTCTGGAATAACCAGACTTTGCTTCAATGTTGGGTTTGTTTTTGTTGGTTTTTTTTTCTTCTTTGTTTTTAAACTGAAATGCTTCTACTTTGCCTGTAATATGGGAAGAACTCTTCTGGCAGTTGACTTAGTGAATGTATGCTCATACCTGCCTGCAACTGCTGAAACACATCATCTAAAAGCACCAGTAAGTGACATTTAAGGCATTGACAGTTCTCTGTATTAGTATATCTCAAAATATCCGTTTTCAAGTATCACTGCAGAGTGACCACCTGAATTCCTTAGGGTTGCAAAGGAGGCCTGTGAAAGAGGAATTCAGCAGCAGATGAACCGCAGCAGAAATACAACTCCGAACTATTTGAGTTATCAAATCTAATCAAATAATAAGAATGAACAAATAAGCTATCCAGCAACCGAGGTAGTTAATGAGCACTGGTTTAGAGTCTTCTTAATTGTATTCAGGCACTCATGGGCTGTATTTGCAAGTCTGTGTTTATGACTTGAGACTGTACACTTTGTTTTTTCCTCTTAATGAAAGCTCAACATTTCTTTTGTTCCAGCAAATTTCAGAACTTAGAAGATGATGCCAAATTATCACATGCCTCACTACAAAACAAAGAGCTGGCAGCATTGCCTTCCTAGGGGAAACTGGAAATATCCCAGGCTTGCTCCAGCCATGCTCTAATTTGAGGTTTAACGCTCTGTTAACATCAGCCCACGGCTGCATCACTCGAGTAGATTTGGGCTGGGACTGGGGAGAGCCAGGAGCACTGCACTGGGAGGGGATGGTCAGAGCCAGGAGCTCAGAGAGAACTTGCACAGGGACAGCAGGGTGGCTTTTACCCCCCAGGTCAAACAGTGGGTGAGGATTGCAAAGAGAGCCCAGGTGAGCTGCAGTTTGGTCTGTGGTGGCCAAGCCAGGTAATCATCCATCAAAAGATTGCAGTCAGTGGCTTGAGTGAAAGTAGTCCTTGTGGGTCTTCCTTCAAGATGCATGGTTTCACAGAGCTCCTGTGGGCACAATCTCACTGATTCTGCACAAGAAGATGTCAAAGCCAAGGTGATGCACTTCAAAGCATTCTTTGCAGAACTCAGAGATTCTGCTTTTTACCTTAAAGTTTCATTTTGAGTCTCAGCTGCGTTTCAGGTGATGCTGAAAGTGAAACTCCGCCAGCTCTCCTGGGCTGGAACTTACCAACAAAAGTCTTACAGTTCACGAATGGTTTGCAGTGGGAAAAGGCAAAGATGATATGTCATTCTTCTGAAGTGTCTTAGGGAGAGTTACAGTTCTGCAGCCACAAGAGCTAGATGTTCCTGCTCAAGCCCCCTGTTGCTCTCTGCATGTTTCAACTAGGACTTGTTCCAGACACAGACCTCAGCTTCCTTCAGCACATTCTGCTTTGGCCATTAGGAGGTAAACTCATTACCTCTGTGATTTGGTGAAAATAGAGACAAGACAGTGGTGTCCCTTCCTCTGGAGCCTGGCTCTGAGTTATGATGGTACTGTTCTCAAAGCTCTTTGTATATCCTGCATGCGAGTAATTCTGTTACTGTTCTCTACCAGAGAACAAAAAGGCAGTAACTCAAATTGCACAAAGGTTTTAATACCAGTCTCAGTGGTTGCTCTGGGCCTTAGCACCACATCTGTCTGGAGGAAAGGGTGGTGACAGAACTGCATCCCCTCAGTTTGCTTTTCTTCCTCTGTGTGTGTGTGAAAATAGAGCATATACATGAAGAGGGTCTAACTAGTGAAACCACAGTGCTGTGACGAAATGCATAGAGGCTCAGAAGTTATGCCTCTAAAGATCTGGTTTGTGACCTGCTGGTCACCTTTCTCATGTCTCTTAAGACATGAACAGTCTTACAGTAAAAACTAAATGCAATTAGAGTGCTCAGAACAGCTTCAAAGTGGCCTGGCTAATTTTGGGTTTGAGTTTGACCCCAGAAGCAGGTCACTTGCATGGGATGGCAGGCTTACATCTTGAAGATTATGACTAAACCACACCAATTTATTTAGCTGCAGTGAAGAATTTGAGTTATTCAGGGTTGGTTTTTCTTTTCCTTATAACCTCTCAAGAAAGGCAAACTTTAAGCTACCACACACAGCTGGTGTTTCTAATAAGACACAGATGTGTTTTGGGATCTCTTCCCATCTCCTGCAACATTTAAATGTAGATAAATAGAACTTAATCAGCTATAAATAACAGCGTGTCATGCCTGTGGATCACTAACCTTCTCTGGGACTCCCACAGGACTAGGGTTAAGCTTAATTACTTCAGTCTACTGCAAACAACAGAATAATCAGCTGTTGGGTATTGCATGGGGAAAGGTGGAGGGAGCATAAAGAAGCAAGTCAACATCCCTGGCCAGTGATGTGAGCCCCAGTGCTCAGTGTAGGGTATTTGGAATGCTTCAACACCAAGGGGATTCTTTTATTCCCTGTTTTGCTTTCAGTGCACAGGAGGTTTAATGTCAGTACTACATCTGTCAGTGTTGTTTTAAAAACAAACTCAGGAGGTGCCTGTGAACTCTTTTTTCCTCCCCTTAGGGACATCTTCCTCCCCTCAGGGATAACTGCTCAGCCTTGCTGTATAAAAGGGTGGTGATTGTGGCTGTTCAGCTCTGCTGTAGATGAAGGCAAGTCATTCCTCTGTGGCCATTGCATATTGCTAATTTAGGAGGGCAGATTGGTATGTCTGGTCTGGAGTGTGGTGGCTGTCAGCCACAGGCAGTTCTCCTGGGCTGGAGGAGTCAGTGTCTGCCAGCTTCCAGCACTGGGCTCTGTGTGTCTGGCCAGGCTGGCCTGCATGGCAATGTGTTCCAGAGCTGCTGTCTTCTAGCAGCTTTCTGCTGGAGCAAATGTGAGGCAGATGGTGGTGAAACCACCAGGACCACCATTGCTGCTGGTGCTGCTCAGCTCTGTGCTCAACACACCACTTTGTCTCCACACTTTGCAGGGACCATGGGCATCACCCTTCCAAAGGACAGGCCATGGCAAGGGAAACTCCCATGTCCCAGACTGCTCGTTGTTGGCATTTGTAATGGTATTTTTGGCTAATTGCCACTTCTCTCAAGAGCACTGGTGAAAAGATATTTGCTAGACATTTTTCCCTGTTAGTTTCTGTTCTTGCCTGACGGTTAACAGAAATGGGGTTTGTTATTTCATAACCTTTTCCCAGCTACAGTAAGTTTGAGCCATAGATTTGGTTTTTACAGTAGATTTGATTTACAGCAAAGCTGTTTCTGCCCCACATACCTGCTCTCCAGTAACACAAGTGTTGGGCTTTGCTGGGCAAAGCCTCGAGTGGTTCAGCCAGGAGCTCAGAGCAGTCCTTACAGCTCTCCTGAACAAAAGGGCCTCACAGGGGCTGTCTGGAAGAAAAACTGCGGTGCCTGGCATTCAGGGTGTGATTTGTGGTGTGAATTATATGCAGTTCAGCTGCAGGGACTCTGGGTTGGGCTTGGCTCAAAGCTCCATGGGTTTCAATGTCTGCTGCTGTCCCTGCACTGCTTTTCTTCTCAAAGAGAGAGCAGGTACTGGGTGTGCAACTAATACAGCATTACCTCTTTGACTTTTTCTCTTTCCTTGTGTCCCTGTAAGCTGCATTTCCTTGATGGAAAGGTAATTAAAGGTTTTATGAGGGAGGTGAGCCATACCTGGAGGGCTGTGCTGGGGCAGAGCTGGCCAAGGCAGCCCTGCAGCCCCTGCTTGTTTGATTTCCCCTGCTGCGG